ATCAAGTCCTCGAAATACGTCATACGCGCCACCGACCAACGGTTGTCGTGTTCCTTGACCTAAAAGAAGTTTCCGACTCAGTTGACCGCGAATGTCTTATGGGTTCGCTTCTTCGCAAAGGAATGCCGCAGAAGTATGTGAACGTACTGAGTTCACTCTACTCACAACTTCTGGTAGCGTAAGTGTCTGCCGCGAACTGAGTAGGTCGTTGGTACCTAGCAGCAGTGTTCGTCAAGGGTGCCCTCTTTCGCCATTCCTGTTCAGTTTATTCATGCACGAAATACTGGAGAACACACCAAGTGGTCTCCAAAATGCAGGTATTGAATGGGCAGCTGAAGAAAAGCTGTGCGATTTGGAGTACGCTGACGACATTGTTTGCTTGTTCGATTGTATGGATGATGCACAAAGAGCACTTGACAGATTAGCAAGTTCTGCCGCTCCGTTCGGCATGTGCGATTAGGTAGAGTAGGTGTCTCTCATCTTCCGGGATGGGGTCCAAAAGCCTCCGAAACCGCATAGTTAGGGGCACTGAAGATCATGGCTACTAACCGACAGCAATGGTCATCATGCTGTCACTTCTTATTAGACCAGAATGCTTGAAATAGTATGTATGCACAGCTGGACTGTGTACTCTGTGTTGACGAGGTTCGCTTTCTTTTCCGTCCCTAAAAATAAGCCCAATCCGTCCTTCTTACACATTCTCACTTATATTGTACGCATTGAGTTTGACAACGATCTGTGAATTTCGCTTCACTGTATTACGTTGTACAATGATGATGATGATGATGAGTGCCCGTTCATAACACTACTAAACACGAACGTGAGGTAACTCTGTACTCTATATACTCGGTCGGCACGCATTACATCGATAAGTGGACTACTGCTCAGAAAGCTAACCCTTATTTAGTTTTGTTTCTTAACCCGAACCTCTATCTTTACTCCTAGCTTCTGCCTAATAGTACTGCCGAATGACTGGCAGAATCAGAAATCCAGCCAAATTCCGAATCGGAGGACCTTTAATGTAGAGTCATGCAAGTGAATTAACAGACTTGTTTCGCGCATTTTCATACCATCACAACGAGACTGCACCTTGATGTGGTGTGATGTCTTATGCACCTCTGTAACCCAACAATCTACACAAGATGGTTTTTGTCAAGCCAGGAGATCTTATCATGCCTGAAAGGTCAATGGGTAGAGGTCAGATGAAGTCCAGTCTCCTGGTCCTTCAGGTGGGGGCTTTCGACTCGAGTTAGCGTCTCAGTCGGTAAAATGGTAGAGGAGTAATTGATCCAAGTAAATGGGTCTCCACTTCGCTTTACCCGCTGCCTTGCGGTCAGGTGATTAGAACTAAAGGCTTTGGACGAGAACGCTAATCGTTCTCCTGCTTAGTGACTGGGCACCCTGATAGTGCCCGTCCATCAAACCCCAATACATACACAAAATAAAAGTAATTTCATACTGCATCGGTCGTCGCGCAGGATTATCATGAACGCGCCGCCCATTGCATCGAGCGGGGTGGATAGTGATAAGTGGGCTATTGCTCAAATATCCTAACCTTTGTTTGATTCTTTGCCTTCAGTACCCAGCCCTCTCCATTTTCCCCTTTTTTCCGACCTGTAATAGTCCTTCCAGCGACTTGAATGTCGCTCACTAAAAGGTCGTTGCCAAATAACACTGTAAGTAATGTATCTCGAAACGAATTGCAGATTCTAAAGCCTCGTCAATCACTGAATCTGGGGGCCTTTAACGTGAGGACCCTGATGCAGGTAGGCCAACAAGCTTGTCTGGTACCTACGATAGAATCCTTGGGGATCGATATTTGCTGCGTGTCAGAGACTCGTATCTAGGATCCTACTATTATAAGCCACTTGTGCGCACCAAATTTGTCTTTGAGATACGTTCTTCGGAAATCGGGCGAATCCCGCTCAGTTGACTAGCAAGGGTTAGGTATTGTACTCAACAACAAGGCGGAGTCCTCTCTTATCCATTGGATCCGTGTCAACAGTATTTTATGTGCAACGCGTCTCCACGGTTCAGTCAGCGTCCAGAAGGGAAGCAACATCAAAAGGTGTTTGTTCATCGTATCGGCATATGCACCGACCAATTACAGTTCTGATACTCAAAAGGACGCCTACGACGAACTAACCGATCTCATTCGGATGAGTCGAAGCTCCGACATAGTTGTACTTGCAGGTGAGTTCAACGGACAGGTTGGAAAACTAAGCGCATCAGAGTCTTGACTAGACAGTAGCTGTGCTCTGCCCAGCCAACGAACAAATTACGTCGATCGACTTCTTCATTTCTGTGCAGACCATCATCTGTTCCTATCAAGCACCAACTTCCGACATACATCTCGACGGACGGCAACGTGGCGCTCCAGTTCGATTGGTACGCTAACTCAAATCGACCACAGCAGTAATTTACTGTTGGCTTGGCTCAGTGCAAAATTGCAGGTCTTGTTGGACCACCTGCGTTGAATCTGACCACGCATTAGTTTTGATGCAATTCACTCTTCGACTGGCTGGCTGGCGACGAATTCAGCAAACTCTTACAGCTCATCATCGACTATCTGTTCCAGCAGTTCGTGTGCGCTATAAATCAGAGCTAGTGCATGAGCTAAGCGCGCCTCAACGTGGTGATGTAGATGAGCAGTGGGATCAGATTAGGCGAGCAACGCATTCCGCAGCGAATGTTGCTTGTGGGTCTGAGCCTGAAACCTGTCGGATAGATCTCTCAGGAGTCAGTAGTTTTGATGGATAAAAAGCGACTAATCCCTACCTGCCAGGATCGAAATAGAGTTACGTGGCATCTACAACGTCAGCTCAAGGAGGACCGTGAGAACTGGTAGACAACGATAGCTAGTGAGATGGAAGTAGCAGCTGCATCAGGGAATAGTCAAAGACGGCTCCAGCTGATACACAATACAATCTGCAACAAAAATGAATAAGCTATTCACAATAGGGATGAACGACTCGATCGCTGGGCAGAATACTTCAGCGAACAATTTAGCTGGCCTAGTGCTAACCAGACTGCTTCATCTCCGACTGAAACTCCGTGGGCAGTGTCATGCGATCCTCCAACAGAAGTAGAAGTTCGGTCTTGCATTCAATCTCTGAAGCGAGGAAAGGCAGCAGGACCGAATGAGCTCCCTCCCACTATTTTCAAGATGGTGGGTGATAACCTCGTAACCTCTATTACTACCCTACTGCGCGAAATTTGAACGCAAGAAAACATTCCTTCATCTTGATGCAAGTCACTGACCGTTCCCATTTTCAAGAAAGGATCTTGCAACGAGTGCGAAAACCACCGCGGGATCAGTTTGATCCCGATCGTCACCAAAGTGCTAGCTTCAGTTATACTTCGACGGCTGACGCCTTTAAGAGAGACCAATATCCGTGAACAACAAACCGGATTCCGGCCTGGCCGTGGATGTATTGATCAGATTTTTACGTTGCGTCAGATCCTTGATCTGCGTCATACTTACCGTCGGCCAACGATCGCAGTGTTCCTTGACCTGAAAGGAGCCTTCGACTCAGTTGACCGCAAAGCTCTGATGGGCTCCCTTC